GCCTGGCACGTCAGACTCACAAGAATACAAGGCTTTGGTTGACACTGGTGCTCAATGCACATTAATGCCCTCAGGACATGTGGGACCAGAGGCTATTTCCATTTCTGGGGTGACAGGAGGGTCTCAACAGTTGACCGTGTTAGAAGCTGAAGTGAGCTTGACTGGGAAGGAGTGGAAGAAACACCCCATTGTGACTGGTCCAGATGCCCCATGTATCCTGGGCATTGACTACCTTAGGAATGGGTATTTCAAAGACCCCAATCGATATAGATGGGCTTTCAGAATAGCTGCTGTGGAGACAGAGGCGGCTAAGCAGTTGAATTCACTACCTGGCCTCTGAGAGAACTCTTCTGTTGTGGGACTGTTGAAGGCTGAGGAACAGCGAGTGCCAATTGCCACTACAATAGTGCATCATCAGCAGTACAGAACGGAGACTCTGTGATGATGTCCAAAAAGGTAGATCGAAGAACTGTTTAGAGACAGAGTTTTATGCCTTTAAACAGCAAGGTATTTATTAAAAACGGCTGTGGAAGTCTCCCAGCTATTGTCGGAAAAAGAGACTCCGCTGGGACTAGGTATGAAAGGGTGATTTATACAGCTTTGACCATGATTACAACATATTCGCATACACATTCATATTGCTGGATTATTAGATTACAATATTCATAGCAGGAGGGGTCAGGGCGGAGTTTGAGGCTTGGTCTTCAATTTTGAGGAATAATTTGGGGTAGGTCCAGTCTTTACTTCGTCGGAGGGTCTTGATCTTCCTCTTCATCAACAATTGACCTCGTAACCTTCTGTTCTTTCTATTGTTCTATGTTCTGATCGTCGAAGCATGAGAAAAGGCTTGGCTTCAGGCCTATTTCACCTTTTCAAATGTCTAGTCTGGCTCCTTTAGGTAAGATTTATTAGTGCTGAGCTCCTTGCTCAGTGTTTGATGTGGGTTTCTGGGTCTGATGCACTAGTACAGAACATAGTCTTCCTTTGAGCAATACAGAAAAGGGAGAAGGGGGAGCAAGTGGGTTTTTACAGTAAGGTGTTTCAATTAACCCTTCTAAAGCCCTGTCTTGCTTCAGTGATCCCCATCCATAAGATGATCCATGAGCTGGAGAGCCAAGGAGTGACCAGCAAGATCCACTCTCCCTTCAACAGCCCCATCTGGTCTGTGCGCAAGTCCGATGGAGAATGGGGATTGACTGTGGACTATCGTGGCCTGAATGAAGCCATCCCGCCACTGAGTGCCGCTGTTCCAGACATGTTGGAGCTTCAGTACGAGCTGGAGTCTAAGGCAGCGAGGTGGTAAGCCACTATTGAGATCGCAAATGCATTCTTCTCCATTCCCCTGGCAACAGAGTGCAGGCCACAGTTTGCTTTCACGTGGAGGGATGTGCAGTACACTTGGAACTGACTGCCCCAGGAGTGGAAACACAGTCCCACCATCTGCCACAGATTGATCCAGGCTACGCTAGAGAAAGGTGAAACCCCAGAACACCTACAGTACATTGATGACATCATCGTATGGGGGGACACAGCAGAAGAGGTCTCTGAGAAAGGAAAGAAGATCATACAGATTCTCCTGGGAGCTGGGTTTGCCATCAAAAAGAGTAAAGTCAAGGGACCTGCCCGAGAGATCCAGTTCCTGGGAGTAAAGTGGTAAGATGGACGTCGTCAGATCCCAACTGAAGTCATCGATAAAATCACAGCAATGGCCTTACCAACTAGCAAGAAGGAAACCCAAGCTTTTCTGGGTGCCATAGGTTTTTGGAGAATGCATATCCCCGAGTACAGCCAGATTGTAAGCCCTCTCTATCTGGTAACCCGCAAGAAGAATGATTTCCAGTGGGGTCCTGAACAACAGCAAGCATTTGAACAGATTAAACAGGAGATTGCCCATGCTGTAGCCCTTGGGCCAGTCAGGACAGGACCAGATGAGAAGAATGTGCTCTACTCTGCCTCTGGGGATAAGGGCGTCTCCTGGAGCTTCTGGCAGAAGGTGCCTGGGAAGACCCGAGGCCGCCCACTTGGATTCTGGAGCCAAAACTACAGAGGGTCAGAAGGCAATTACACTCCAACAGAAAAGGAGATCCTAGCAGCTTATGAGGGAGTACAGGCAGCCTCAGAGGTGATTGACACAGAAGAACAGCTCCTCCTGGCACCTCGGCTACCGGTGTTGAGTTGGAAGTTCAAAGGGAAGACACTCTCTACACATCATGCCACTGATGCTACATGGAGCAAATGGATCGCCCTGATCATGCAGTGTGCCCGCATTGGAAACCCAAATCGCCCTGGGATCCTAGAAATCATTACGAACTGGTCAGAAGGTGAGAACTTTAGTCTAGCAGAGGAAGAAGAAGAGGAGCAGGTGGTACGGGCAGAGGAAGCCCCAGCATACAACCAACTACCAGAAGAAGACATACGCTACTGATGGTTCCTGCCACATTGTAGGGATGAAACTGCTCTTTCTTCCCGACACCCTCTGCAAAGAACTCTTATCTCCCATGCAGGAATGTCCTGGGAAGATATCCTGAGGTCTTCTCATTGGCCTTTGTTAACCGTTTCCTATTGGCTATTAACTCTTTACCTGATTGGTTTTTCTGTAAAACCCTGAGCCTGTAATTGGTTCTTTTTTAACCCCCCTAAAAGCCTTATAAACCCCCATCCCCACAATAAATGTCTTCTTTTGTCCATCCCTCTACGGTGGTCTGTGTGAGCTCCTTACGGGTTCGCAGGGTCATGTGCTGGGGGGCAGGGTGGAAGAGCATTCACCTCCAGGAAATGGTCTAACACCCAGAACCTGAAAGTTCCCCCTCCAACACATCCGTCGTAAATGGTGCCACGTGGTGAGGCTACAACTGTCTGAAGTCTTTTGTGAAGTTTTAAGCAGTTATTAAATGCAGAAGGGGGCGATTCTGCATCCGCGACGGACCGGTGTCTAAGCAGTTCGAATTGTTAGCAGACTCAGCTACGTCACCACCACTCAACCACCACTTTGGGACAGCAGCCTGTTGAACGCTTCTCAACCCACCTGGTAACTGACAGGTAGGAGCAGACCCAGGAAACTTCCTTAAAAAAAAAAAAAAAAAAAAAAAAAGGTACATCCATCTCTAAGACCGAAAAAAAGGAATTATAAAGTGTTGAAAGACATATTGAGTTCCAACGGCAAATCGGCTAACAAAACAGCTTTAAAATACCTTTCCAAGTTTATGGTTAAAAATTACTATAAACTCCCTTTCTGTCTTAAGACTAAAGATTCGGACTTATTGGGGAGACAGATTTGGTTGGTTGCAAATTCCAATGATAAAGCAGCAATTCATGCCAACATAGCCTGGACTCACATTTTGGCTATACTTGAGATGCAAGAGAAAAGTTCGAAGCCTCCAAATCCTGACCAGCAATGTAACTCCACCCCTACACTGGACATTACCTGCACCAGTGGTGGCAAGGAAAGAGTTACTACTATCCAGAGCAGCATAGCATCCCCCCTTCCACGGCAGAACAGCGCAGTCTCCCCCCTGGGTCTAGGAGAGGGGAGGCGACCGAAGTCACCCTGTAAGACCGAGGAGGATGGAGGGGGGGAGGCCGTCCAACAGCTTCGAGCAGGGGTCCCCCGGCAGCCCCCACTGTGGTCTGTGTGTGGCGGTGCCGCACCCCTGGTCCCTGGTATGGTTGGTGGTTTTGGCACTAACCCGCCCCAGCCCCCTGCGCCGGTCGAACCCAGCGCGGCGACCTCCCTTCCTGGCAGCACTGAGACACACCCTGACCCGTCCCGGGCTCCACCGTCACGACTGCTGGTAGAATGGGGGGGAGAAGAACCGCCCGCCTTTGTTGTTTCAGCCAGTTTCAGCGAAATCCCCCCCCCCCCCCCCTTCCCACTCTGAAGGCAAGCGAACCTGTCCCGCCGTCCCTGACACGGTATAGCTGCCGCGGGCACTCATGGGGGCAGGGATGTGCCAAAAAAAATCCAGCATGCGTTCGTATAGCTCCAGCCCCCCCATCCGCTCTGCAGCTCCCGGTGGGAGACCAGCAGCCGCAGCGTTTCCAAGCAGTTTCGCAGCCACAAGCCCCGACCGCATGGTCAAACAAAAGCAGCGTGGAACTTCTGTCTTCCAGAGACACCGGAACAGCAACAAGAACTACCCCGTTTCCTACGGATGCCGAGCAGGATGGGGTGATGTCACCGGGGCCCCCCGCCTGTCCCAGTTCGGCGCTGGGGACGGACAAACCTCTCCTTTGCGGGTCCAGTTTCCTTCCACACTCGGCAACAAATAGCAACAGAAATCAAATGCACCCTTGTTCATCGTGCCACAATATGCGACAACAACAACTTAGAAACACCTCCACAACCGAACATCCAGCTCGAGGAATTTCCAGCGGTACAGACAGCGTCCCCCTCACCTCTCACAGCGCAGAGCTAGCTGTGACTGACTCAGCAGAACCAGATTCATCAGTTCTCCAACTACAAGCAATTCGCAGTCCCTAACAACACTTAACAAATTTTCTCCCAATAATCCATTTTCAAATAAATAATTTTAACAATTCTGTTTCTCCTTCTAACCCTTTTGTTTCTTCCACAGGAACTAACCATGCCAATAATTATGATGATATAAATAACATAGCTAGAAATGTTAATGATTTAAATGTATTGCAAGCATATCCAGTGTTTTATACTCCAGGCGGACCCCCTGTATGGGACCCCTTAGCCATACTCCTTCTCAAGGATGCAAAAAAGGCAGTAACAACTTAGGGTTTAAATTCAGCATATGCAATGGAAGTTCTGTCGTCTTTATTCTCAGCCTTTGTACTAACTCCAAACGATTTAAAAGATATAATGAGATCTTTGCTAAATAAGGTACAAGTAACATTGTTTTTAGATGAATGGAAAGCTTTAATTCGAAAATATGCTCTTGATACTAGTACAACTACACGTAGACCAATTGAAAATACAATACAAATGCTTTTTGGTGAGGGTCCATATGCTGCAAATACAGAACAGGCCAAAATTCCAAAACAAGACTTAATTGCTACCAGAAATATGGCATTACAGGCACTACAATCAGTAGCTGATGCCTCTCAAACAACTCCACCTTTCAATAATGTAATTCAAAAGCCAGATGAATCTTTTATTGACTTTGCAGAGTGATTGAAAGAAGTTATAGAAAAACAAATGTGAAAGAAGCACAAGATGCCCTATTCTTGAAGCTAGCTATCTCCAATTCAAATGCACAGTGTCAGCAGGTACTCAGAAATCTTAGTGATCCTACCCCCATGGATATGGTAAAGGCTTGTAAAGATATTAGCCCTAATGACAAGTTAACAAATAGTCTAGTCCAAGCTCAGGTGTCCATGTCTAACCAATTAGCCGAAGCTAAAATACAATTAGGCAACCAAATTGCAGAAGCAAACTAGCAGATGGCAGAAAAAGTGACCGAAGCTTTAGCAGCAGCCTTAGACCACTTCAAAGTAATATGCCATTATTGCAAACGTCAAGTTCATCTAAAAGCTAACTGCCCAAAACTCAAAAACCCCAATCCTCAATAAACCACTTGCCCAGGCATCTGCCCCAGATGTCAAAAAGGGCCACATTGGGCTGCAGAATGTAGATCCCTATTTGACAAAAAGGGGAACCCACTCTCACCCAGGTCTGTTCACAGAACATAGGATTCGGGAAACGGCATAACCAGCGCTGAGAGCAACGTGTGGACATAAAAGGCTCTTCTCAGCAATCTAATCTACACCTCTCAAACAGTTCCCAACAAAAACCCCAAACAGGTGCCTTTAAATTGGAGTTAGTAACTTCAAAACCTCGAACCTTAGAAAAGACAGAGTATCACACTGTGTTATTGGCTTCTGCTTCTTCTCAGATCTCAAATTGTAAAGGTAAATGTGTTATCACAGGAACAGATTCTGCAACTGCATTAGGCATTACTGTGTTACCCATGGTTAGGAGTCTTCAAGATCCTAAAGTTGTGTCTGTTGTAATCAAACCTAACTTTGTACCCACAGTGATTAATCCAGAAGATCAAATAGCACAGGTCATACTCATGGAGGAAGAGACCCAAAATGAACAGAGAATTCTCATTAATTGGGCTCAAAAGGTTACTGTTGACAGACCTATACTAGAATGTACTCTTCTCTCTCCTAATTCAGGCCAACAGAAATCTGTGTCTGGGTTACTAGACACTGGGGCAGACGTGACAATTATCTCTACCAAAGATTGGCCCAGCACCTGGAGTACAACAAGACCAGCTGTCGACATCCAGGGAGTAGGAGGGTCCAAAATTCCTCTCCGGAGCATTTTACCACTTCTGGTCCAAGGCCCACAGGGTAAGGTAGCATCATCTAAGCCTTTTATATTGGACATTCCACTAACCCTGTGGGGCAGAGATGTAATAACACAGTGGGGAATTATCTTATCCATTCTAAATTTGTCATGAGGGCCACTGGTGAGCCGCAAGCACCACCTCTCACATGGACATCAAACACAGCAGTGTGGATAAACCAGTGACCCCTCAGAGGAGAGAAATTGCGGCAAATTCATAATTTGGCAAAAGAATAATTAGACAAAAAGAGGTTAGTCCCCACAAACACTCCATGGAACTTTCCTATTTTCACAATCAAAAAATCATCTGGAAAATGGAGGTTATTGCATGATTTAAGAGAAACCAACAATATCATAGAGCCCACGGGAGCCCTCCAAGCTGGGCTGCCCTCCCCTGCCATGCTCCCAGCAGAATGGCCACTTGTTATTTTAGACATTAAAGACTGTTTTTTTTAATATCTACCTCCATCCTAATGATACACACAGATTTGCATTTTCCATTCCAGCTATTAACGCAACTGAACCCTCCAAACGTCTAAGTTGGCTCATGTTACCACAGGGTATGAAAAATAGTCCCCCAATATATCAATCTGTCGTGTCCAATATAATTGAACCAGTTCGATCTCAATTTCCTGAAGTTATCATTTTCCATTACATGGATGACATATTAGTTGCAGCCCCTAATGCTGACAAATTGACATTAGTACATGAGCCTGTGAAGGAAGCCCTGGGTAATCATGGGTTAGAAATAGCTCCAGAAAAAGAACAAAATATTTCCCTGTGGAAGTACCTTGACCTGCTAATAGATGAGAGAACATTTAGTCATTTAGTCCTCAAGCAGTAACCTTGTCCACCAAAATAAAAACACTAAACGATCTGCAGTCTCTTTTGGGAAATCTCAATTGTATACAATCCTTTTTTTGTTTCTCAACAGATTTTTAGCTCCTTTGTTTCAGCTCCTTAAAGGAGAAGCAGAACTAACTTTTCCTCAGCACTTGACACCAGAAGCAGAGAATATTATTGAAGTGATCAATCAAAAAATTTCAGAACAACAGGTAAACAGGAGAGTGGAAGGATTACCTACTGCATTGCTAATCTTTCGTGGACCAAAACAGCCTTTTGCTGTAATAGGACAATTGGACTCAAAAAACCAAAAAATTTCTTTTGTGGGAATGGGTATTTCTCAGTCATCAGTTTTCAAAGACAATTGTTACTTTACCTGAAATGCTTGCAAAAGTCTGTCACAAAGGCAAGCTCCAAATGTTAGAACTGTCAGGGAAAGACCCAGATTTTCTTTATGTTCCACTGTCCAAATCTCAATTGCGTTATTACGATTTACATCTGTTTGATTTTCAACTGGTTATGTCAGATTTTACAGGCAAACTAATAACTCATTTACCAGCAATTCCTTTTCTGCAGTTTCTTTCCATCTCCCAACCCAGACTGAGAAATAACTTTTCTACTAGCCCTTTGAAGAAAACTGTGACTGTGTTTACAGATGGATCTGGGAAGTCTAGGAATGCAGTAGTAGCTTGGTTTGAAAAAGGAGTCTGGAAAACAGATGTGCATCAAGTAGAAGGTTCATCTCAGATTGCTGAACTCTCAACCGTGGTAAGAGCATTCCAGTTTTTTCCACAGCCTCTGAATTTAGTATCAGATTCTGCCTATGTTGTCGGAGTTGTGAGTCACATAGAAAATAGCTACTTAAAGGAATTGAACAATCAAAAGTTGTTTACACTGTTTAAAACATTGTTACTATTAATCCAACAGAGGAAACATCCTTTCTGTATCACTCACATTAGATCACATACATGCCTCCCAGGCCCACTCACAGAAGGGAACGCTGTGGCAGATAAAGCAGCAAATTTAACTTTTCCAGTTAACTCAGTACCTACACCTAACAATTTTGAGAAAGTAAAAATTTCTCATAACTTTTTCCACCAAAATTCTAAATCACTGCAAAAAATGTTTCAATTATCTAGTTCTCAAGCCAAGGCCATTGTGTCTGTATGTCCGGATTGCCAGTTGGTAACTCCAGTGAGATCTGAAGGAGTTAATCCAAGAGGCTTTAGCCCCTTAGATCTCTGGCAATCAGATGTTAGACATGTGCCACAATTCTGCAGATTGAAATATGTACATGTATCAGTGGACACCTGCTCAGGACTCATTGTTGCCACTGCACATACAGGAGAAAAAGCTTAAGATGTTAAGAGACACTTTTCCTCAGCAATTGCCATAATAGGCATTCCAAACAAATAAAGACAGATAAAGACCCATCCTACATTTCTGCTTCCCTAAAGAATTTTTCAACATGTGGGGAATAGTTCACACCACTGGCATTCCTCACTCTCCATAGGGCCAAGGGATAATCGAGAGAACTCACAAATCTTTAAAAGATATGCTGAAAAAACAAGAAAAAACAACTGTAGGTCTCTCTCCTTCAGAATGTTTAAACAAGGCATTGTATGTCCTCAATTTTTTAAATAGACTGCATGAGGATGTTTCGCCTGTTGGACATCATTTTGGAGCTGGAAAATTAAAAATGGGGGAAGCTAAGGTAAAATACAAGGATATCCTGACAGGAGAATGATTTGGTCCTGTCCCCCTAATTGTTTGGGGAAGAGGGCACGCTTGTGTCTCCACAGGAGCAGGTCCATGATGGATACCGTCCAGACTAGTAAGGATCCACCAAGAAGTTTCCCTCCCAGTTCAACCAGCAGCAGATCCAGCACCAACGGATTCAGCACCAACTACAGGAAGCAATCCCCCATCAGCATCACTTTCGGGATAATCCTGTTTCTTGTATGCAGCATAACACCAACAAATCAGAAAGACTTAACGTCAGGAGTCCTTGCCACACCTCCTCCAACAATTCCAAATTGGGTAATGCTCTCTAGTCAAAATGTTTGGCTAAACCTGGCACAATCATTAAATACTGACTCTATCTGTTTATCTACCTTAGACCCCTCTCACCCTCTTAAGACCTGTCTGGTAGGGATCCCCAGGACACCAGGAGAATGGGGTGATTTTAGAAATCAATATATCCCCTGGTGTGATGACCATGATCAGTTTGGAAATCCATTTTTAGACTGTCTCACACAACCAGCAAAAACTTCACCTGACAGACAGACATTTAGCTATCAGTGGCAGAGACCTGAGGAATTAAAAATCTTGGGGAGTATTATATCTCCTCTCTGTTTTTACTTTGTTCATAACAAATATGTTGCCTCTTCTGAATTAATTAATGTCACCTCTTATGGACCTTATTCCAACTTCAGTTTCTGGTGCAAGGAAAAGATTACTTACCAGATACATGCTACCCCTGATTCAGTTATTCTTCCAAAAGGAGTCTCTTTAATTTGTGGACTTAGAGTCTGGAATATGATTCCTAGATTAGCTGCTGGCGGCCCCTGCACATTTGGAAAATTAACACTATACAATCCAGCTACCCTTATGAAATCTTTACCTGTAAGTCCTCCCAAAAATCGTGCTAAAAGAAGCATTAGCCTCCAAACAACCTCACCCTTCCCATGTAAGAAACTCCTTAGAGTGCGTAGGCAATTCCAAGGTTTACACCCACCTCTTAACTTTTATCCATCACAACCAAAACCACCTTCTCCACCTAAAGCAGCGCAAGTCCCTGTGGCTGCAGCACCCTCACCTCCAGCTGAAGAACATCCCTTAGCAAAAATGCAGTTCTTGAGTGAATTCACAGCAGAATGCAATTCCAACATGCACTTTTGGTCCAACACCATAAATGTTCTAGGTGGCATCATGCTTCCAGTAGTCAGCTCCACAGAAGCCTTAGTGCTCCTTACCAGAATGGGATGTTGACTAGCAAAAGAAGCTAATGCCACTAGTGCCACCATTGATGATCTTTTACAAGATACCCAAACCAATAAGAAAGCCTTGTTACAAAATCATGCTGCAATAGACTTTCTCCTTTTAGTAAATGGCCATGGGTGTCAGGAGTTTGAAGGCCTTTGCTGCCTCAACTTCTCTGATCATTCCCAATCTATCCACTCCCATATCAATCAGCTTAAGTCCTTAGTTCATGAAATCAGTCAAGTTGATAATTTGACTTTTGATAATTTTTTCAACTGGCCGCCCTTTAAAGGTCTCTCTTCCATTATTATAAAAATTATTGTAGTTATACTACTAGGACTTTTCGTTGTGTTTCTCTTTATGTGTGTTTTTCCATGCATGCTCAGTTGTGCCAGAACCTTTCAATCATTAAAGGCATATCCGGCTTTAGAAAACATAAAATCAAACCAGTGAAGTGTGGCAATGGATTTACCATATGTAGGATGGAAAAAGTCCTGTCAAAGATGAACTGGTGAAGAAAAAGAAGAAAACAGCCCAAATGTTATAGAAACAGAAGTTTTTAATGTTGTTTAAACACATCTTAAAATGACCTTTTCGCATTTCTGCAAGTCACTGCTCTTTCTTCCTGACACCCTCTGCAAAGAACTCTTATCTCCCATGCAGGAATGTCCTGGGAAGATATCCTGAGGTCTTCTCATTGACCTTTGTTAATCGTTTCCTATTGGCTATTAACTCTTTACCTGATTGGTTTTTCTGTAAGACCCTGAACCTGTAATTGGTTCTTTTTTAACCCCCCTAAAAGCCTTATAAACCCCCATCCCCACAATAAATGTCTTATTTTGTCCATCCCTCTACGGTGGTCTGTGTGAGCTCCTTACGGGTTCGCAGGGTCATGTGCTGGGGGGCAGGGTGGAAGAGCATTCACCTCCAGGAAATGGCCTAACACCCAGAACCTGAAGGTTCCCCCTCTAACCCATCCATCATAAGTGAAGAGCATCGCAACAATGAACAGGCAGACCGAGCTGCACAAGTTGAGGTGTTACAGGTGGATCTAGACTGACAGCACAAAGGGGAATTGTTCTTAGCATGATGGGCCCATGATGCCGCAGGCCATCAGGGCAGAGATGCCACCTGCAGATGGGCACGAGACCAAGGGGTGGATCTAACCATGGATGCTATTTCTCAGGTTATCCATGACTGTGAGACATGCGCTGCCATTAAACAGGCCAAGAGACTGAAGCCCCTGTGGTATGGTGGACACTGGAGTAAATACAGGTATGGGGAGGCTTGGCAGGTTGATTATATCCCACTGCCACAGACCCGTCAAGGTACTCTCTACATCATTCTCTACAACTACCTGAGAGGAGGTTGTAGCCAGGTGGGGGTTGGTCTCTTTTCTCAGGCAGCTATCAGTAAGACAAGAGGGCATGGGCTTAAGCTCTGCCAGGAGAGGTTTAGGTTGGATATTAGAAAGAAGTTCTTTACAGAGAGAGTGATCAGGCATTGGAATGGCCTGCCCAGAGAGGTGGTGGATTCACTGTCCCTGGAGGTTTTTAAGATGAGGCTGGATATGACACTGAGTGCCATGATCTAGTAATCACAGTGGGGTTGGATCAAGGGTTGGACTTGATGATCTGGAGGTCTCTTCCAACCCAGTTAATTCTATGATTCTATGGATGTCTGCTGGAAACTCAATACAGCGGAGAGGAGGCAGTCTAGGAGGTTCCTGGAGTGTGGTGGAAGAGAACTTCCTGACACACCAGGTAAATGAGCCTACCACGAGTGGAACCCCTTCAGATCTGCTGTTTATAAACACAGAAGGGCTGGTGGGAGATGTGGTGGTCAGAGACCACCTTGGGGACAGCAACCACAAAGTGATAGATTTTTTATTCTTGGTGAAGTAAGGAGGGGGCATCAACAAAACCTCTACCTTGGATGTCCAGAGGGCAGACTTCAGCCTTTTCAGGACACTGGATCAGACAATCCCTTGGGAAACAGTCCTTAATAGAAAAGGGGTCCATGAATGCTGTACATATGATACCTTGGAGTTTTGGTTTTTTTTTTTTTAATTTTTGTAGGTCTTAGAAGTAGTTATGTAGCAAATGTAGATTTTAGAGTAGCAGCATATTATCTCTTTACCCTTTAACACACCAGCTACACATAGTAAACCCTGTTACCCATTCCCATATCAATTCCCCTAGATTCCATTAATTTATTTAGTCTCTTTTTCAAGGTAGAATTTTAGAGAACACGCTAACCCTGCACAAGAAGATATAGCCATAGACACAACAACCTTCAGGTCTAGGACTCTGGAAGGCCTTCAAGAACATTAAGTGCTCCGAGGAAGATGAAGAAGAGGGGGTCCCAAAACGCCCCCAGACCCAATTCCCAAGAGGCGTGGCAGGGGCAGAACCTGGATGGTGGCTGGACGGGGACTGGGTGAAAATCATTATAAAAACTGTCAACACCTGTATTCAGGAGAACGCGTTGGGGGTATTCCGGAAAGCCTGGGGGCTCATTAAAACCTTTGTATCCTTATCTCCTACTTAGTTTGACTTGGAGTCTTTTTTTCCCCACAACCATTTAGGCAACAGTTTTGGTGGTCTGTACAGGGACATTGGGACCTGTGACTCCTCTGGATCGACATTCCGTTTTGCAGGGATTTCTTCTCTGGCTGGCATATTTTTGGAGAATTCTTGCTCCGATCTTGGGGAGCCCAGCTTCTCAGACCTACCCATGGAGGTAAGATAAGGAACAATTCCTAGAGAATTTTACTTAGCAGCTGCGGGAAGTTTTCCCCAGGGCTAGGGAATACGGTGAGACTGGGAAGGGAAACTTGGACTTGGGCCCAAAAAGTCAGTGTTTTCCCAGTCTGTTGGCAAAGGGATTTTTGCCAGAGTGGGCAGTGAAGCTGTCCGGGAAGTTTCAATAAGGACAGACGTGAGGATTTCGGATTTTGTGTTGACCAGGTGTGGCCGCAGAAAGGGGGGATGCGTCCCCTGGTTGAAAATTTGTCTTTCTGTCTGAACCTGGTAGTACCTGGTTACAAAGCCTGCACACTGTGTGTGAGGCTGTTGATTTTCTCAATTTTGTCTTAGGTCTGCTGTTTTTCTCGTCTATTGCTTGTTAACATGGGATGTGTACAAGCTAAAGAGGAGATTCCAGAGGGAACCCCTCTTGCTTTGGTTTTATGGTATTGGGATGATTTAACTGGCCCTGAGACATCTTTAAAAAAACAGGAGCTAGTTAGACTCTCTATGGATGTCTGGCCTTTCAACGGGCAGATTAAAAGATTAGCCTGGCTGAAATTTGGCTCTTTTGAGGTAAATATAGTGTTTCATCTTATGACAATTCTTCATAAGGAGGAAAGGTGGTCTGAGTTGCAATATGCCGACTTATTTTATTTTTTCTTAACCGGTCCGAAATTGAGAAAGGAATATAAAAAGGATAAAGTTCAAATAGAAACAGAACTTCCAGAAATGACATTAAAGGAGAAAAAGAAAAAGAATAGTCGTGCTAAACATGATTCTAACAGTGAAATTAATCTTGAAAGCCCTGGAAATGAAGATCTGGACCTTTTAATTCCCCCAAATATGAGAATAGGAAACCCACCCTCCCCTTCGGCTCCAGTCGCAGGTGTGGCGGCCTTGGTCCATCAGGGGCAGGGGTAACCCCTGGAGTGGGTCCTGCCAGCTTGGTGGGGCCAGCTGGACCTGCGGTGCTGGGTCCACATGCTTCGGGGGTCTCAGGTAGTGTGGACAGACAGGCTGGGACCGCTCCAGGAGGAGCGGGAGCCCTGGGAACTGCTGTTAGTGCTCCCGGGGAGGCGGGGCCTGGCGTGACCTCTCCCCTGGCTGTGCCGAGAGCTCTGGCACCGGCCAGATGGGTGGCAGCCCCTCCCGGAGCTGCGGGCTCTGTCAGTGTTGGGACTGCGAGGCCAACCCCTCCTGGGGCCGCTGGACCAGTCCTGTCCAAAGCTGCGAGCTCCTTTGGTGTCGGTGATCGGGGGGCGGTGGCCCCTCCCTGGGCTGTGGGACCAGTCCTGACTGGAGCCACGGGCCCTTTTGGTTCAGGGGGGTGGCAGTGGCTTCCCCCTGGGCCATTCCAGGAGTACCAGGAGTAGGGGCGGTGCCTGCAGCCGGAGTCCCCTCCCCGGCTGACATGGGACCCTCCAGCTCTGCCATGAGGGGCGGGGATGAACCCGCCCCCATCCCTTCGACACGGCCCTATCCTATGGGAGGATGCCCAAAAAAAGGCAGCTAAAAACTGTTTAAAGACAGAATTTTATGCCTTTTAAACAGCAAGGTATTTATTTATTTAACGGTCGGGCAGCCTGCCAGCTAGTGCTGGGAAAACAGGCCCTGAGCTGGTTAGGTTAGAATGAGTATTTTATACAGGTTTGGCAATGATTACAACATAACCACATACATATTCATATTATTGCATCATTAGATTACAATATTCATAACAGATGGAGTTAGGGGCGGAGATTGAGACGTGGTCTCTATTTTGAGGAATATTTTGGTGGTAGATCCTGCCTTACTTCCTCATGGGGTCTCAAATTCTCTCCTCTTCATTGGGTGACCTTCGTGACCTTTCGTTCTTTCCATTGTTTCATGTTCTGTTCACTGAGGCTTCAAGAAAGCCTTGGCTCTGGGCCTATTTTACTTATTCAGATGTCACCTCGGCTCCTCTGGATGAGATTTATGGGCGTTGGGTTCTTTGTCCAGTGTTCGTTGTGGTTCCTTTAAGGTCTGATGCCCAGCACGGGACAAAGTCTTCCTGTACGAAATGTAGCTTACAGTAAACGAAATATAGCTTTCAATAAACTATAAGTCGTACAGGGGGGTAGGGGGGCTCTTATGGGTTTACAGTAAAAGTATTTCGATTAACCCTTCCTGTTTCAGGGGGAAGGGGGGAACCAGGGTTTAGAATTACAGCATCGGGGGAGGAGCAGATTAAAGTTTACTGATACAGGCACAGAAGTTTCTGAGAATGAATCAAACAATAGATTGGGGGAGGGAGA